ATTTATTATATTATAATTTTTTAATTTCGTGTTTCAAACTTTATCATACCTGGGATGTCTACTGGACTCTTGTTTGGACAGATTTAGGTGAGTTATTCCTAGGATTTACTAAAGAACTACAGGCCTACAATGTAAAACAACATATTTGCTTGAAAAACAATGTACCGCTTTTGGTACCTACAATCCTGAATAATCATACCGCCAGGGAGGTTAACAAGAAAATGTGTCCCCTCTTACCTCGGCATGTCCAGCCTGTCACCCCCGGGGCCTCTCCAGCCAGAACGCGGCCTTCCTTCGCTACCCAGCAGGAGCTGTGTTGCTGGCCAATCATGGAAGCCGGGCGAGTGGAGGAGCAACGTTCACTGTGATTGCGAACCGGGATTGTTATACCTCTTTGAATATGGAAGTCTGGTGAGTGCGGTGTGTTTCACAGTCACCGGGAGTTTGCACACTACAGCTATAAGAAGGACGTATCACTGATTTTTTTTTTTTTTATATATCTTGGCACTTTGTCACTTTTTTTTTGCATCAATTTATGGTGGACTTTTAATTACAAATTTGCACTTACTCTCTACAGGAGATATTTCAATGAGAAACACTTTTTACGATGTATGAGTATTTATTAATTATATTGGTTATATGTGATCTATTTGATATTTAGCATATTATTCACGTATATTTAGCGTATATTATTCACGTATTATGATTATTGATTAGCGCAGTGCATTTGTTTGGTCTACTAGAGATTATTGCTATTACCCTTAATAAACAATTCTCCCACTCCTACTACATACACTAGCAATAATCAGACTGTGTATGGAAAAGTATATTAGTGTAAATTAAATATCCCAAATGTATTTTCACAGCCTCACCTCTACACCATAAAAAGACTCAGAAAACACTTGTGCCAGTTTAACCGCTGGCACATATCTAGCTTTCCCTTGTTTTGTTTTTACAATACAAATTTGAGGGGACATCATTATATCACAAGTGCTATAGCTTGGCAACATTGACTGCCTAAACTCTGCGAAAAAAATGAAAGATTTACTATGTGAACTTCCTAGTCAATGTGAAGCAAACACACGGGCCTGACCTTGAAATTTATGATGGAGTCATAATAGCTGGCAGATGTGGGACAAAACGAATTTCATGGTGCAAAAAATGGGGTGCTATATCCCACGGTAAGCATTCAGGTACTGGCGATACTGAATTTTAAAGTTCTACTTATGTTTTGAAAACATTTCTATAATTTCTGTGCATTACACATTTCATCATGCTAAAACCCATTTTTAATTAGACAGTGCAATGGGCAGAGATGATGGTAAAGACCAACACTACTTTAAATGTATATTTTACTTTTCGGTAGGCACCTGTGGACTGCAGATGCAGACTGTGGTAAGCTCACTCCCATGACACACTACAATACTAACAAAAAAAATCATGGGTGCCCATACACTGTGCGAATTCCTCAAAAACCAGGCAAAATTAGCAGTGTTTGCTGCACAGGTACTATGCGTTTAGCGCAACGCTATTGTGTGAACTGGCCCTTAAAGTGTATTTCCACGTTTGCATCAAAGTTGGGATAACACCTACTTTTTTATGTTACACATTCCCATTAATATTGCATAACTTTAAAAAAATTCAATCCCTGCTTACATTTTTAAGTGCTTTATACTTGCTTAAAATTCCTACCCAACTTCCCCTGCATAAAATGTTAAGGAGGGGGCTGTGGGAAGTTATGCTTCCTGTAAATAACCCTGTATGTACTGTGCTGGCAGATCTCATTATCAATTGTAAACTAGATGTTAACACATGTCTGTCCTAACAAAGGGATAAAGACAATTGAGAGGAAGCTCAGTCTGAATATGAAAGTAGCGGGTAAAACTGAGGGACAAACTGCTCAGAGTAGCTTGGAATCTGCACAAAGGTCTTCACCTAAGAAACATCTAAAATAAAAATATTTTTCGGTATGCTGTGTGACTAGGAACACAGAACAAACATATAGTGGAATTTTCTCAAATTTGACTGCAAAAGTAGAACGACACTTTGGGGTTGATTTACTAACCTTATAAACACACCACGAACATGTATACACCTCTGTAGTGTGTTCCCTCCCAGCATGATCTATGGGTGGAATCTAAACATCTTTGTTGTGTGTACACACCCAGCAGGTGTGTTGTGCAAAGCCTTGCATGAATTCCAAGGTGACGTTGTGTAAATTAGCTCTATGTTGTGTTGCTTGCGTTGATGAATGCAGGAATGTAAATGCATGAGCTAACCATTTTTGTCTAAACTGTGAAGCAGCATTATATATGCATCATGTGCATGATTTTTCCATATATGGCATTAGTGGAAATATGCTTTTAGAGACTTTTTGGTTGATAAATACGTTTTGCTGTGTGAAAATCACACGCACCTGGTGTGTGCGTGTGTTTAGGTTAGTAAATCACCCCCTTTAAGTCGGTAAGTTTAGATAAAGCTAGATAATAAATTGGAATGAATATCTATCATTCAGTGTGCAATGGTTTTGAGTTGTTGCTTTTTATTAGTCATGTAATACGATATTAACATACTAACTTTTTTTAGTGAGTTTAAAGAAAAACCCTGGCTTCAGCAGCTGGACATGGCTCGGACGTTGGCCAAGAAGACGGTCTACCAACTATAAGGACAACAAGATAATGCTCTACAGACAGCTATCCTGAGACAGTTTACATCACACACATGTGGACTTGCGGTTTGCTGTTATTACTTTGCAACCCTGGATTAAGAATCTATTTTTGTATCATTGCCAAAACTGCACTTAGATCCACATATCAAAAGACTGCATGACTTAATCTTTAATATATGATGAAACAATATTATTCCTACATCATCCCTTATACATGAATAACACAGTTAATACAATAATCATGCTGATATCTACAGCTAGCTCACTTTTCTTCTTTACCTCATTCTATCATTATGGATGCAAGGGATTAACACACGGAGTCAGATTGAAAGGCACAGGGTAGGGAGGAGTTGTGAGCTTACAGGGCCAGAAATTAGAAGGCCATGTCCCATTGCAACACTCTAAAACTAGGCTGCAAGCACTATATGAATCAGTGTTCACTATGAATGTTATAAATAAAAGATGTCACATAATTCCCCAACTAATAACCTGAAGACACATAAAACATATTTAACTAAAAAATACAGTAATATGTGCAATCAAATTAAAGCTTGGGAAATTTTACCTGTATGAAAGGGGGCGTAACCCCACGTACAGCCACCTAAAGCTGTTCATTACTATGAGTGGCTGTACACAGGCTTATGCCACTTCTTGTGCTTGCCTTCGCAAGCGTACAGGCATACAGCCCAGAATGCAGACAGTCTCCGTCCAGGGGTATACGGCTTTTTGCATGTGAGAGTTTATGCAAGTAGTGGTGTGAACCCGCATATAGCTGCCTACATTATTATGGGCAGCTGTATGTGGCAGTTGTGTTTCCCAAGCGCAGAAATAGGCCCACAATTTACTTTATATGGCTTCGTGCCCATGTGCATGAGGCCTAAAGTTTCCTGTTAGCATACTTTTCACACATTAGCCCCAATCATTGGATCAGAAAATCAATGTATTAAAATTTGTGATGTCAATAACTACTTCATAGGTCTATGGATGCACAGCATATACCTGTGAGATGCATGGAAGAAAATATGTGTATTTACTATAAACTATAGATCCAACACTTTGCAAAAATAATCAGAGCCTTGACCAATTCTCCAATGCAGAACATCTACTAATTATTTCTGCTGCTCCTAAATGTGATTTAGACCATTACACAACCTCTGTCTATGAACTTTGTCTGAGATACCAGATCCACTTGGCACTGAATCTCCATGTAAAGGTGCCCATACACTGCACGATTATAGTACAATAATCGCATGCGATCGGTTTTTCGTACGATAATCGAGCAGTGTGAACGGAGACGTGCGACCGTTTCTACTGTACGGTCGCACGTCTTCTGTCGAACCAGCATGTTCGAAAACCATCCGGGAATCGTACGATTCTCGGCTGGTTAGAACGGTGCTCGGAAGACAAATGCCGAACGGGCCGGTGTGCGCACGCGCACACTGCCCGTTCAGCATTGCGGTCATCGGAAGCCCGCCCCTCAGGGGGGCGGGCTTGCGATGATCGAGAGTGTGATCTGCCTGTCCAAGATAGGCAGATCGTACGTTTTTTTAATCCCTTTACAACCATCGCAAGACTAAAGTCTTGCGATGGTTGTAGAGTGTATGGCCACCTTAAGACTCCATATTACTACTGCTTTAATTTGTTACAGGAGCAGCTGGTTATTTTTGGCTCTCCAGCTATAATTGAATGACACAGCAGTACTCTTATTTATTTGTATACACTAAACATTTCAGTACATAATGCTTATCAGGCTAGAGAGATAAGATGTGCATGCAATTAATGTGCTGGCCTCTGGGTGGCATTATTCGGTAATGTAAAACTATAATGTCCCAGCTATATGCACTTTCCATGCATCTTTCTTCTAGAACAGCTTCAGCTTGGGAACTTTGAAATGGATACATGCTTTCTGATCTTGTTTATTGCATAGTATCTGTATCTATGTATATGGACTGAAACAACCCTGATAGAAGGTTTACAGTCAGAAGAAAACAAGCATTTTACAACATTGTTATTTGCCCCCTTGTCTATGTTACGTTTTGCATGTTAAAAGCTGCTTGAAACAAATGCCTCAGTTACATGCCAAGCTGGCAATAAATACAGCCCATCTATACAGATCAGTATTTCTTTAAGTGATATTAAAGTCAAATGGTTTTTAAAGGAGAACTATGGGGTTAAGGCTTTTCCCCATAGTTCTCCTTAGGGTAACGGGAGGACACAAACTAGCGTCCTCCCGTCACCCTAGGCTCAGTATAATGAGACGCCGCAGTATACCGCGAGCACTGAGACGCCGCAGCTGAAGCAGATCCCGACAATTGTGCGTGACTGACAGCTGGCTCTGCCTATCTAGAGGCAGAGCCAGCTGTACCCGCCCCCTCCCCTGTCCGTTCCACCAGTCAGCGCTGGCGGATCGGAGCGGGGAATTCAGCCCCTCCCCTGTCACGGCAGAGAGCCCTGACAGGATCGAGAGGTGAGCTCACCTCCCAATCTACTGAGCCGACCTGTGACAGTCTCATTGCCACAGGTCGGCTAGAACTATGAGGTGAGTTAAAAGCACTCACCTCATAGTTCTCCTTTAAGTTATTTCAAATGCTGATTAAATCTCACACAATGGATGCTGCTCCTTGATGGTTAAAAGTTTTGAGTTTGCTGCAGAATAAGCTAGTCCCCTGAGCATCTGCCCTGTTATCCAGTTTTAGGGTGGATCCTTTCCATTGCAGGGTCCTTTGGTGCCACCCTTGTGTGTGCTAGTAAGATGTATATGGCTTCGCAAACACACAGGCTCAGCACTCCTCTGCCCATTTCTCCCTCCTTTTCTCTTCTCCTTCATTCCTTTTCCAAGCTAGCTGATGGATAGTTGCTGGAGACTTTGCTGGTCCTTGTGATCTTGTACTGGACAGTAAGTTCAGGGAGGTGAAGCTGAGAGAGTTGGAGCTGTTTGGAATCATGATGGCTGTAAGTGCTTGGGTGAAAATATAAAGAAATATTTTGCTGGACAATTAATATTTTTTTAAATTTTGAATTAATTATTGAAAAGTTGAGAGTTGAATACTGCTTTAAATATGACACTATGATGTGCATTTACTGGCATCACTGAAATATATTATGTTGGGGGACACGTAAAAAATTAAGGCAAAAATAAGGGAATATATTGGCTTGGGAAAACTTGCATTCAACGTTGTCATCTCGCTGTGTCAGTTGCTACTCTTAAACCGCATAAAAATAAGATTGGTTGCTATGGCCAACTCCCAAATTTTATATTGGCTTTTATTTCATTTTTACAATTCCATATTTCTCATGTGTCTTCTTTTTGCCTCACATATTTATTTGTACTATCATTCTTAAACCATGCAAATCGGCTTACTTAGATTTGTTGTGTTTAATATATATATTGGCAATAAGATGGTGATAAGGCCAACGTAAGTTCTGCATGAACTTAGTCACTAAAACAGTGCATAATCCTACTACAAAGCACCATAGCAGGTTTTTTTTTATAGGTTTATATTTTCACAGTAGCTTTAG